TCCGACCCTAGAAACTATGAAACTATGAATTTAGGCTCAGACTTTTTGAATATCTGTTCCTAGCCAAGATGTTTGCAGTCACAAACATAGCTAGATTTTAATCTTCCATACTTTATTGGGGGTCTCCAGAAATAGAACAGTGCCATAGATGCAACTTCAGTCAGCATAACCCATAAAGCAGGACTTCATCCACTTACCTCATTAAATCCAGACCCTAAAGAATGCAGACTCAGTATTGGTTGGGGCAGAGGAAGCGAAGAAGCATATTGATAAGTCATTCATCATCCAGTCTATTGTCCTGAGGCTTTCAGCATCTTACTGAGCAATGCCGGCCCAGGGATCCTTTTAGTAATTTGCTTTGCCTTCTCTTTTTTTTCCAAAGGGAAGGAAAAAAGGGGTGGAATCAAAAATGAAAAGGCAGTGCAGAGTCAGGAGTTCATTAAAACAGAAGGTTACAGCTCTTATTGTCCCTGCGTCAGTGCAACCCTTAACGAGCTCTCACCATGACGCCAGGAGCAGCCTGGCAAATGTCAGCTCTTCGCTGATTCTATGGAAGAGGGGAAAAAAGTGGCTGTGCACTGCAAGCCTGTCTGCCTGGAGTAATCTCCTCTGAATAATAGGCAATGAAAGAATCAATCTGACCTTCAGGTGTGGCCAACAGAAGCAGGCTGGGCTTTTGTGGACTTTTAAAGGAGGATTTGGGTCTGCATCTCTACTGTTTTATCTCTTCTCCTCTACTTTGGTCTTTTGCCTTCTCCCTCTGGTATCCTTAATTTACCGGGAAGCTTAGTATTCCCTCTGTGCAATGCCAGAATGTAGCTCTTGCACTGTCAGTTCTTTGGAAGAATCTACCAGTATTTCTGTGCTGTGGATGGTTTTGAGCACCCAAATTTATGGCTAGACCTCAGTTATGTAATGAGCCCCCACCACCTCCACACACACCTCCTCACACACCTCCTGACATGCAGAGCTGTCCTGGACTCTGCAACGCAGTGCTGCAATGTCAGTTGATTCTGCAATCAGCTGCTAATACAGGCGTTCTCAACAGGAGAGGAGGAGGCAGCTGGTGGCAAAAAGGGCTGAATGAAGCACTTCTGTAGGGAGCGGGTGGATGCAGCTGTCACCTGAGGCTTGTAAACCACCAGCAGAACAAAGCTCTGCTCCTCCATGCCAAAGCAAGTGTACAGCCTGCAAAGGCATTTCTATATAGGGCTCTTTAGTTGAACAAGACTGAAGTTCCCTTCCAGGAGAAAGTAACAACCCCTTGAAGCCCTTGTGCTGTTCCATTACCCACCCACCCTTTACATCTTCAGCTGGCACACAGCATGCATCTATACCACTTCCCTATCTCTTAACAGCACCATTTATTCCCACTCTGCATACACCAAGGGTAGGAAATGAAGGCACAAGGCTGCTCCTGAGAGCTATGGTTGAGCTCTCTATCTCTGGAATGCTTGAAACAGGTATTTGAGGTGTCCTCTGTATGGCTTAGCCACTATATTTTTAGGATTGATATAGATGGAATAGGTGGACAGAACATATTTCATGGCAGTGCTCTCAAGAGTCCTGTGGAACTACTGTAGACAAGGGATGGCCAGCCAATGGCATAAGTGCCACAAGTGGCCTGAACAACCTCTGTATGTGGCCTGTGGCAGATTAGGGACGGGGTAGGCAGCACAGTGGCAGATAGTACAAGAGCAGAAAGCAGAGCGGCATATCAGGCGGGAATGCACAGCAAGGAGCAGAAAGCAGGGCAGCAAATCTGGCAGGGAAGGGGATCAGAGTGGCACTGAGGGAGAGTGTGGAGCTTAATTGTGGTACTCCTGCCAAAAAGTTTGGTCCCACTGGTAGAGACATAGCCACAGGCCCTGTCCTGCAGACTTCCTCAAATAGCACAGGTACAAAAATGTATAGATTCACCTTGTAGATCATTGGGGTCCAGTCCCCCTGCACCAGGCAGGAAAAGATAACTGGGGTCAAGTGACCCCAGCGAGGTGACTGTCCAGTCTCCTTTTGAAGATTTCCAGGGTAGGTGACTGCACCACCACTGGAGGCAGTTTATTCCACAGTCTGGACACCCTGACTGTGAAGGAGTTTTTCCTGGAATTGAGCCTGAAGTGGCTTTCCAGGAGTCTGTATCCGTTGATCCAGGTCTTCCCCAGGGGTGCCCTGGTGAACAGCTGTACACCAAGTTCTTGATGTACTCCCCTGATGTAGTGGTAAGCCACTACCAAGTCCCCTCTCAGCCTTCTCTTCTGTAGGCTGAAGAAGCCCAAGTCCCTCAGCCTCTCCTTGTATGGCTTGTCTTGCAAGTCCCTGATCATATGTGCGGCTCTTCTCTGGACCCTCTCAAGTTTTTCCACGTCCTTGTTGAA